TAGTATTAGCTGTATTATTAGTTACTTATAGTATTAGCTGTAGTATTTGTTACTTATAGTATTAGCTGTGGTATTAGTTACTTATAGTATTAGCTGTAGTATTGGTTACTTATAGTATTATCTGTAGTATTAGTTACTTATAGTATTAGCTGTAGTATTAGTTACTTATAGTATTAGATGTAGTATTAGTTACTTATAGTATTAGCTGTAGTATGTGTTACTTATAGTATTAGCTGTAGTATTTGTTACTTATAGTATTAGCTGTAGTATTAGTTACTTATAGTATTATATGTAGTATTAGCTACTTATAGTATTAGCTGTAGTATTAGTTACTTATAGTATTATATGTAGTATTAGTTACTTATAGTATTAGCTGTAGTATTAGTTAGTTATAGTATTAGCTGTAGTATTAGCTACTTATAGTATTAGCTGTAGTATTAGTTACTTATAGTATTAGCTGTAGTATTAGTTACTTATAGTATTAGCTGTAGTATTAGTTACTTATAGTATTAGCTGTAGTATTAGTTACTTATAGTATTAGCTGTAGTATTTGTTACTTATAGTATTGGATGTAGTTTTAGTCTTATTTTTGTCCTAATGAGTCCTATCCAGAGCCACGAACCCAAAGTCTAACTCTAAACCAGCGTTTCCCAAACTCGGTCCTCGGGACCCCAAGGGTGCACATTTTGGTTTTTGCCCTAACACTACACATCTGATTCAAATGATCAAAGCTTGATGATTAGTTCATTATTTGAATCAGCTGTGTAGTGTTAGTGCAAAAGCCAAAACGTGCACCCCTTGGGTCCTGAGGACCGAGTTTTGGAAACCCTGGTATAGTGCACATTTTGTAGGTGCTGGAGAGCAATAAAAATGTAAACGACGTCATAATTTCTTAACCTTTGTACCGACAGATTGAATATCATTCTAGAATATGACAGATGTAGCCTATTGAATATAATTCTAGATTATGACAGATGTAGCCTATTGAATATCATTCTAGAATATGACAGATGTAGCCTATTGAATATCATTCTAGAATATGACAGCTGTAGCCTATTGAATATCATTCTAGAATATGACATCTGTAGCCTATTCAATATCATTCTAGAATATGACAGATGTAGCCTATTGAATATCATTCTAGAATATGACAGATGTAGCCTATTGAATATAATTCTAGAATATGACGGCTGTAGCCTATTCAATATCATTCTAGAATATGACAGATGCAGCTGATTGAATATCATCTCCACAAAGGAACTCTGGAGCTCTGTCAGAGTGACCATCGGGTTCTTGGTCACCTCCCTGACCAAGGCCCTTCTCCCCTGATTGCTCAGTTTGGCCGGGCGGCCAGCTCTAGGAAGAGTCTTGGTGGTTCCAATCTTCTTCCATTTAAGAATGATGGAGGCCACTGTGTTCTTGGGGACCTTCAATGCTGCAGAAATGGTTTGGTACCCTTCCCCAGATCTGTGCCTCGACACAATCCTGTCTCGGAGCTCTTCGGACAATTCCTTCGACATTACATTTGTGACCTCATGGCTTGTTTTTTGCTCTGACATTTTTTTAAACATTTGAGTCATTTAGCAGACGCTCTTATCCAGAGCGACTTACAGTTATTGGGTGCATACATTTTTCATACATGCACTGTCAACTGTGGGACTTTATATAGACAGGTGTTTGCCTTTCCAAATGATGTCCAATCAATTGAATTTACCACAGGTGGACTCCAATCAAGTTGCAGAAACATCTCAAGGTCCTCTGTAGCTCAGCTGGTAGAGCATGGCACTTGTAACGCCAAGGTAGTGGGTTCGATCCCCGGGACCACCCATACACAAAAATGTATGCACACATGACTGTAAGTCGCTTTGGATAAAAGCGTCTGCTAAATGGCATATTATTATGATAAATGGAAACAAGATGCACCTGAGCTCAATTTCGAGTCTCATTGCAAAGGGTCTGAATACTTATGTAAAAATGAGATTTCAGTTATTTATTTTTAATACATTTGCAACAATTTCTAAAAGCCTGTTTTCACTTTGTCATTATGGGATATTGTGTGTAGATTGATGAGGAAACATTTTTATTTAATCAATTTTAGAATAAGGCTGTAACGTAACAAAATGGGGGATAAAAGCAAGGGGTCTGAATACTTTCTGAATGCATAATATGACATTTGAAATGTCTTTATTCCTTTGGAACTTGTGTGAGTGTAATGTTTACTGTTCATTTTTTATTGTTTATTTCACATTTGTTTATTATCTATTTCACTTGCTTTGGCAACGTTAACATATGTTTCCCATGCCAATAAAGCCCCTTAAATAGAGAGAGAGAGAGAGAGAGAGAGAGAGAGAGAGAGAGAGAGAGAGAGAGAGAGAGAGAGAGAGAGAGAGAGAGAGAGAGAGAGAGAGAGACAGATACAGAGACAGATACAGAGACAGAGACAGAGAGACTACCTATGAATAAAGGGGTTATAAATGGTTTATGGAGAAACTTTGAAATAATTTTGAGGTTTTTGCCCTCATTATTCCCAAGTCACAGAGAGCCTTCAGGGTGGTCTGTTTCAGTGCCTTCATAAAGTATTCAGACCCCTTGACTTATTCCACATTTGTTGTGTTACAGCCTGAATTCAAAATGGATTCAAATGATATTTTTTCTCACCCATCTACACACAATACCCCATAATGACAAAGTGAAAACATGTTTTTAGAAATGTTTGCTAATAAGTTGAAAATTAAATACAGAAATATCTAATTCACATAAGTATTCACAGCCCTGAGTCAATACCTTGTAGAAACACCTTTGGCAACGATTACAGCTGGGAGTCTCAAAGAGCTTCCAATTGAGCCGACATATGCAGCGTTTACCGTGAATTCAGTCTCTGCGAATGCAAGAACGTTTCCTTTTAATTTCAATTGCGCTGTAGCGCTAAACCTCTACGATACGGATTGAATCGAGCTCTTAGCAATCCCTTCAAGATTTTGCGGGGATAGTTGGTGATATTTGCTGGCAAAAATGCTTGATTTTGAACAAGTTGTTGACGTGTGGCTTGATTCAACCATATTGTGTGGTGATTGGTTGAAATTGTAAGCCCTGTTTTTGTACTGCGTTGATGGGTCTGTTTTATGCAATAATATTGCGATGATTTGACTGTTTTATGCAGGGAAAAGTGGGTGATTGGTCAGATATGCATGAGCTTGCATAATATGCAGGAAATTGTTGATTTACGCCTCTGAAACTTGATATTTTAATAAAGCTGTGGTGATTAAGATTTATTTCCAAGTGGTCTCAGGAACCAAACCCTTCATCGACAGTCTTGACTACTTCGCGATTGCATTGGTGCAGACAAAAAAAGCCTTAATTGAGAGGAGGGGAGGCTATGCTTGGTTTTTAATCAAATAAAACAAAATGTGAAAAAACATAAGTTTTTTATGTTTCTAAATATGAAGTATACAGGCTCCAAAAGCACATTAGGCTACTCTTGTTCCATGCGCATATGGGTAGTGTGCATCACGGCTGGATAGGCTGCGTTTCTCTGTCAAAAATCACGCCATAACCAACTGCATTACCGCTAAAATCAGCTTTTGGTTGGTCTTAAATATCCCTATCAGCGCCTGCTTTTCACAATCCCCAAATCGAGAACAAATTCAAGAAAACGCACAGTATTATATACAGCCATTGTTGCATGGAACTCCCTTCCATCTCATATTGCTCAAATGAACAACAAACCTGTAAAAAAATAAAATAAAGTTCTGTATTATGTCATGTTTCATGTTCTGTGTGGACCCCAGGAAGAGTAGCTGCTGCTTTTGCAACAGCTAATGGGGATCCTAATAAAATACCAATCTTTTGTCAGTATATTACATTTATTTTTCAAAGCCCATCTAATCAATCTAATTTTCAAACATTCATAACGTTCCTGTCCATTTAAGAAAAGCACATCATATATTACTTCCTGTTAATCTATTCTGCTTTATCTATCTATACCTATAGCTGTTAATAACTTCAGTAGCCTACAGTACATAACATCCAGTAGCCTACAGTACATAACATACAGTAGCCTACAGTACATAACATACCATAGCCTACAGTACATAACATACAGTAGCCTACAGTACATAACATACCATAGCATACAGTACATAACATACAGTAGCCTACAGTACATAACATACCATAGCCTACAGTACATAACATACCGTAGCCTACATACCATGGTGTATAGTACCACCAATAACATTAAGGACCAGGTACTCTTGGTAAAATAACCTCTAAGGTTTCAACATGGGACTTGTCCCCTTTATAGTCACTAAACTACTTATTCATGGATATAACGGACACTGCATTCATGACAAGTGGGAAACTACATTCAGATGATTGTAAGTTATTTGCGTAGAGCTTCCTGTTGGTTGATACTGATACTTTTCTAGTGGGAAACTCGGGTATCATCTTTCAACAATGAGTTTCCAAGTCGAACATTTCTGAGTTTCCTAGTTCCGACATGTCATGAATGCAGCAATAATTACATTTTGAACTGATAAACTATCCTGGATTCTGCTGGGACTTAGAGTTCATTACAGTATACTGTTTAAAGACAGATCCAGTGAAAACACATGATTTGTGACACATTCAAAGTCTGTATAATACAGTTGAAATTCAGATAGTTCTGTTGTCTTGTTGGATGTTCAGGGCCTGCATTCACAGCTCTCAGAGTAGAAAGCTGATCTGGGATCATATCATTGTGTTGTCTTGTTGGATGTTCAGGGCCTGCATTCACAGCTCTCAGAGTAGAAAGCTGATCTGGGATCATATCATTGTGTTGTCTTGTTGGATGTTCAGGGCCTGCATTCACAGCTCTCAGAGTAGAAAGCTGATCTGGGATCATATCATTGTGTTGTCTTGTTGGATGTTCAGGGCCTGCATTCACAGCTCTCAGAGTAGAAAGCTGATCTGGGATCATATCATTGTGTTGTCTTGTTGGATGTTCAGGGCCTGCATTCACAGCTCTCAGAGTAGAAAGCTGATCTAGGATCAATTGTACATTTTATATCACAATTAATACTATTCTGAGACCCTTTATGAATACGACTGACTGTCTTTAGATGGTCATGTTGTCTTGATGGAAGTTGTTATCCCTGGTCGGAACAAAACACTGGTTCAGTTTTGTTTTCAGCTGCCTGGCATCTGGTCTCTCCTCTGGGTTGGCACACAGCATCCACTGTATCACCTTGTTCTGTAACACAACCACCCACAGCATCAACTCTATCACCTTGTTCTGTAACACAACCACCCACAGCATCCACTCTAACACAACCACCCACAGCATCCACTCTAACACAACCACCCACAGCATCCACTCTAACACCTTGTTCTGTAACACAACCACCCACAGCATCCACTCTAACACCTTGTTCTGTAACACAACCACCCACAGCATCCACTGTATCACCGTGTTCTGTAACCTAACCACCCACAGCATCCACTGTATCACCGTGTTCTGTAACACAACCACCCACAGCATCCACTGTATCACCGTGTTCTGTAACACAACCACCCACAGCATCCACTGTATCACCGTGTTCTGTAACACAACCACCCACAGCATCCACTGTATCACCTTGTTCTGTAACACAACCACCCACAGCATCCACTCTAACACCTTGTTCTGTAACACAACAACCCACAGCATCCACTCTATCACCTTGTTCTGTAACACAACCACCCACAGCATCCACTCTAACACAACCACCCACAGCATCCACTCTAACACAACCACCCACAGCATCCACTCTAACACCTTGTTCTGTAACACAACCACCCACAGCATCCACTCTAACACAACCACCCACAGCATCCACTCTAACACAACCACCCACAGCATCCACTCTAACACAACCACCCACAGCATCCACTCTAACACAACCACCCACAGCATCCACTCTAACACAACCACCCACAGCATCCACTCTATCACCTTGTTCTGTAACACAACCACCCACAGCATCCACTCTAACACAACCACCCACAGCATCCACTGTATCACCTTGTTCTGTAACACAACCACCCACAGCATCCACTCTATCACCTTGTTCTGTAACACAACCACCCACAGCATCCACTCTAACACAACCACCCACAGCATCCACTCTAACACAACCACCCACAGCATCCACTCTAACACAACCACCCACAGCATCCACTCTAACACCTTGTTCTGTAACACAACCACCCACAGCATCCACTCTAACACCTTGTTCTGTAACACAACAACCCACAGCATCCACTCTAACACAACCACCCACAGCATCCACTCTAACACCTTGTTCTGTAACACAACCACCCACAGCATCCACTCTAACACAACCACCCACAGCATCCACTGTATCACCTTGTTCTGTAACACAACCACCCACAGCATCCACTGTATCACCTTGTTCTGTAACACAACCACCCACAGCATCCACTCTATCACCTTGTTCTGTAACACAACCACCCACAGCATCCACTCTAACACAACCACCCACAGCATCCACTGTATCACCTTGTTCTGTAACACAACCACCCACAGCATCCACTGTATCACCTTGTTCTGTAACACAACCACCCACAGCATCCACTCTATCACCTTGTTCTGTAACACAACCACCCACAGCATCCACTGTATCACCTTGTTCTGTAACACAACCACCCACAGCATCCACTGTATCACCTTGTTCTGTAACACAACCACCCACAGCATCCACTGTATCACCTTGTTCTGTAACACAACCACCCACAGCATCCACTCTAACACCTTGTTCTGTAACACAACCACCCACAGCATCCACTCTATCACCTTGTTCTGTAACACAACCACCCACAGCATCCACTCTAACACAACCACCCACAGCATCCACTCTAACACAACCACCCACAGCATCCACTCTAACACAACCACCCACAGCATCCACTCTAACACAACCACCCACAGCATCCACTCTAACACAACCACCCACAGCATCCACTCTATCACCTTGTTCTGTAACACAACCACCCACAGCATCCACTCTAACACAACCACCCACAGCATCCACTCTAACACAACCACCCACAGCATCCACTCTAACACAACCACCCACAGCATCCACTCTAACACCTTGTTCTGTAACACAACCCACCCACAGCATCCACTCTAAAACCACAACCACCCCACAGCATCCACTCTAACACAACCACCCACAGCATCCACTCTAACACAACCACCCACAGCATCCACTCTAACACAACCACCCACAGCATCCACTCTAACACAACCACCCACAGCATCCACTCTAACACAACCACCCACAGCATCCACTCTAACACAACCACCCACAGCATCCACTCTAACACCTTGTTCTGTAACACAACCACCCACAGCATCCACTCTAACACAACCACCCACAGCATCCACTCTAACACAACCACCCACAGCATCCACTCTATCACCTTGTTCTGTAACACAACCACCCACAGCATCCACACTTTTGACATGTTCTAAAATATGTTTTCAACCAAATACATGTATGTCTACCTCTAAGGGGAACTGCGTGTCGAACTGTTGAGGAAACACCTTGCTTCTGACATCATCCCAGACCTAAACAAGGAATACATACAGTTATGATATGGTACATTCTGGTTGTAGGCCTACATTCCATTATAGTTCAAGAGTATACTACATCAAAGTAATTGACATACAGGGCCTTCAGAAAGTATTCACACCCTTTCACTTTTTCCATGTTTTGTTGCGTTACAAAGTGGGATTAAAATGGATTTAATTGTCATTTTTTTTGTCAACGATCTACACAAAATACTCTGTAATGTCAAAGAGGAAGAATTCAAATTTTTTTTATTTTTTTTTATGAATGGAAAATACATTTACATTTTAGTCATTTAGCAGACGCTCTTATCCAGAGCGACTTACAGTTAGTGAGTGCATACATTATTTTTCATACTGACATGAGACATGAGGGGTGGGATGTGTGTTCTGGGTGACGGGTCCACACAGTGTCAGAACAACATGCTGACTAGTGAGTTGGCTGGCTGTGGACATCTTTTTTTGTCCTGTTACTGTGCTACATTTGGACATGCTTAATTACCCTCTTTTCCTAGCTGTAGTTAGTTAGTTAGTTAGTTAGTTAGTTAGTTAGTTAGTTAGTTAGTTAGTTAGTTAGTTAGTTAGTTAGTTAGTTAGTTAGTTAGTTAGTTAGTTAGTTAGTTAGTTAGTTAGTATATTACCGTAGCTGTATATCAGACGAGGCTAGCCACTCCTGAAACTCACAGCCAGAGCTAAACGCCACCAGCAGCCTAGCCATGCCGCGCAGCTAGCTAACCGTTTAAACTCACAGCCAGAGCTAAACGCCACCAGCAGCCTAGCCAATGCCGCGCAGCTAGCTAACCGTTTAAACTCACAGCCAGAGCTAAACGCCACCAGCAGCCTAGCCATGCCGCGCAGCTAGCTAACCGTTTAAACTCACAGCCAGAGCTAAACGCCACCAGCAGCCTAGCCAATGCCGCGCAGCTAGCTAACCGTTTATTCATTAAAATCAGACTCAGTCACTCTTCAAACGAGAAACTTAAAAATTACAAAAAGCTGCCCTGACACCATTATCGTTATACTACCATATGAGAGTTAAAACATTCCTTGACGGCTGGTGAAGGAAGGATGAATGGTGGCTTTGAAAGGTGGTTCTGAGGAGGTTGGTTAACCTTTTCAGCAGGGGAGGCCTGGTTGTCATAGTCCTCAGCTGGAGTAGCAGGTTGCTAGTGGCATAGCTGGGTAGCACAAGGACTGGTAATCATAGATGCATTGTGGGTATGGGGGACGGGACGGGACGGGATGAGTATTATGGCGGCCAGAGGGTAGATCAGGGGATGGCAAATTGAACCACTAGCTCTTCTTTAGCATCCACCTTGATCTGAGAGATTGCACTGTAAGCACAGGCAGCTATCTTGGACACCTGTTGTACATCCGAGTCTGGCACCAGATCACTAGCGAGCACTTAGTGCGGCTGGCTGGTGAGGGAAGGGAAGGGAGAGGGAGGGGCTTCTTCTGAGACAGACTGTTACTCAACAAAGGCCAGTTTTGTACTGTATAGCTGAGCTTTGGCCATGTACTCATGTTGCTCCATGCCTTGAGAGTCTGCCGCCGAGACGTCGATGATGTTCACGGCTGTCTTGGTAAGGATGGATGTGAGTAAGGCCTGTTCGTCTGTGCGGGCTGAGGGTACACTGGCGGAGCTCCATTCTGTGCCGTTGAGGGGCTTGCTGTCGGGGTTCGGGTGGGGGGATCAGCGGCTTACGCTCATCAGGGTCCCTGTTCTCCGTGGCATGTCTCTTGGTGTCCTCAGGAACAGTTATCTGTGCAGTCTGGCTGCTGAGGGAGAGGCAGACATCCAGAACAACTTCTGCAAGAGTCCATATGGTGAGTGATATGTGTATGGCATTGGGTTCCACTTTACACAAAGACTTATAGAGGTCTATAACGTGTTTACATGTGTTTACAGACATGTATTTCTGTGTTTCCTCTCTCAGCCTTTAAACTGCGTATCGGGAGTGTGTCTGTGGAGGGGGGTGACTGCATGTCCTCTCAAATAAAACACTAATATATTTTGATTAGATAAGGATTCAACCCCCTGAGTCAATACATGTTAGAATCACCTTTGGCAGCGATTACAGCTGTGAGTCTTTCTGGGTAAGTCTCTAAGAGCTTTGCACACCTGGATTGTACAATATTTGCACATTATTCTTTTAAAAATAATTCAAGCTCTGTCAACTTCTTTGATGATCATTGCTAGACAGCCATTTTCAAGTCTTGTCATAGATTTTCAAGGCAATTTAAGTCAAAACTGTAACTAGGCCACCCAGGAACAATCAGTGTCATATTGGTAAGCAACGCCAGTCTATATTTGGCCTTGTGTTTTAGATTATTGTCCTGCTGAAAGGTGAACTCATCTCCCAGTGTCTGGTGGAAAGCAGACTGAACCAGGTTTTCCTCTAGGATTTTGCCTGTGCTTAGCTCTATTCCATGTATTTTTATCCTAAAAAATCTCTAGTCCTTGCCAATGACAAGCATACCCATAACAAGATGCAGCCACCACCATGCTTGAAAATATGAAGAGTGGTACTTAGTTATGTCTTGTGTTGGATTTTCCCCAAACACAACGCTTTGTATTCAGGACAAAAAGTGAATTTCTTTTTTGCAGTATTACTTTAGTGCCTTATTGCAAACAGGATGCATGTTTTGGAATATTTTAATTATGTACAGGCTTCCTTCTTTTCACTCAGTCAATTAGGTTAGTATTGTGGAGTAACTACAATGTTGTTGATCCAGAGTTTTCTCCTATCACAGCCATTAAACTCTGTGTGATTTAAAATCACCACTGGCCTCATCGTGAAATCCCAGAGCGGTTTCCTTCCTCTCTGGCAACTGAGTTAGGAAGGGTGCCTGTATCTTTGTAGTGACTGAGTGTATTGATACACCATCCAAAGTGTAATTAATAACTTCACCATGCTCAAAGGGATATTCAATGTCTGCTTTTTTTTTATTTTTTACCCATCTACCAATAGGTGCCCTTCTTTGCGAGGTATTGGAAAACCTCCCTGGTCTTTGTGTTTGAATCTATGCTTGAAATTCTCTGCTTGACTTAGGGACCTTACATATAATTGTATGTGTGGGGTACAGAGATGGGGTAGTCATTTAAAAATCATGTTAAACACTATTATTGGACACAGTGTGAGTCTAGGCAACTTATTATGTGGCTTGTTAAGCACATTTGTACTCCTGAACTTATTTAGGCTTGCCATAACAAAGGAGTTGAATACTTATTGACTCAAGACATTTCAGCCTTTCATTTTTAATTAATTTGTAAACATTTCTAAAAACATAATTCCACTTTGACATTATGGGGTATTGTGTGTAGATCAGTGACACAGAATCTAAATTTAACGTCATTTTAAATTCAGGCTGTAACCCATCAAAATGTGGAAAAAGGCCAAGGGGTGTGAATACTTTCTGAATGCACTGCAGACCCTATATGACTATGATATATACTATCTTAATGAATCTTTCCTTGATTCCTTCCATCAAAAGTCATTGTCGCAGTCACCTTTGATTTCTCCATTCCAGACAGGTTCCAGAGCAGTTCAAAGTAGATCAGACCCAACGCAAATATGTCCACTTTTCTGTCATAAGAGGTCTGGTTCCTCTGTTGACACAGATTGGACATTGCATAACACTCATTAGACATGTTTAACCTTTTACTGCAGTGTCTCTTGGTAGTCTAAAACAAATCTACTATGAAACAAAAGTATACACCTCACACACACGGTTATGGGCTTAAAAGAAAGAAGACACCTGTACCATGTCAGATATAGAGTTGAAATATATTAATTGTTTTGAGTTTGCATCCCAATATTACACTTTATATACATCACAGAAGACTGAAATAGAACAAAACTGGTAGACATAGAAACACCGGAATTACGGCAACAACAAAAAAATTATGTATTAATTATACAATTATGACAAATATTAATAACATTCCACTCATGAGGCCACTAGGGGGCGATTTGGTCATTTGACTGCAGGAAATGGCTACAGGGGGCAATCTGCATCTAAAACAATAAAAAAAAAGCGTCTGGTAAAAAGTGTTTTGGTAAAAAGCTGAGGGATACGCCTGGAGAAATGTAACCACTCTCAAATTCATAGACAGAGCTATGGGATGCAAGGACTGACCATCAAAATGATAGTTTCAAGCATGTTTTGAAGCTATACAGTGTTTGTTTACATTTACAATGTTTACAAACATTGGAGTAAAACAAGCTTATATTTGGGGTTCTGACGGGGTACAACAGTTGAACTAAGCTGACGAGGCATTTCTAAATTATATCCTTCAAGAATCATTGGTTATATATAATTAATTTCGAAGTCCAAAAATGTATGTAGCAACTGCGGATTGCTCCTTTAACAGGTGTGGTAATAACACCTGACTTAGAACCGGTATACCTGTATTCTAACTGTGTCATCACAGAGTTAGTTACCTGTTCAGGGGCCATGTAAGACTTGGAGTTAGTTACCTGTTCAGGGGCCATGTAAGACTTGGAGTTAGTTACCTGTTCAGGGGCCATGTAAGACTTGGAGTTAGTTACCTGTTCAGGGGCCATGTAAGACTTGGGAGTTAGTTACCTGTTCAGGGGCCATGTAAGACTTGGGAGTTAGTTACCTGTTCAGGGGCCATGTAAGACTTGGAGTTAGTTACCTGTTCAGGGGCCATGTAAGACTTGGGAGTTAGTTACCTGTTCAGGGGCCATGTAAGACTTAGTTCCTGTCTTTTTCGTTCTCTCCAGCATGTTTTCATCGTTGTCATTGTCTTCTGCCGTCACCAGACCAAAGTCCCCGATCTTTACCTCTCCCTTACCCTCTCCGTCACTAATACCAAACATGATGTTAGCGGGCTGAAAAAAAAAAAAAAAGAAGCTGTTCAAATATAAAACGTGGTCCAAAACCACTGTGATGGACGAGGTGGCCAAGATAAGTAGGTAAGTAACCCACCTTTAGGTCTCTGTGTAGGAGTTTCTTGGAGTGGATGTATTCTACTCCGTTCACTATCTGCTGGGTGATGTGTAGACTCTCCTCCCTGCGTTTGGGTTTCCGATGGGCGTTCCTGTCATCGATCCACACTTTTAAAGTCCTCTTGTCACATAGTTCCATCTGGATGTACAGGAACTCAGAGGACGAACTGCTGCCTGAACTAAAGCACCAGGAAGTAAAGAACAATATCATGCTTTTCAGTTTCAGTTGGTCAAATGGTCTGAAATGGGAACAGACCTTACTGAAATGGCAGCAACAACTTATACCAATAAAAGGGAAAATATGATTGTTCTTTTTACGCACTATGATATGGGGTCATTTATCTACCTTAGTTGAATACACTGACTAAGTCCCTCTGGATAAGAATGTTTGCTTAATGACTAATGTTACAGGCTTCGGTTTTTCCATTTATGTTTTGAGGTTGCACGTAGGGCGCACCGTAGGGCGCACCGATTGGCGTCACCTCGTTAGTCAGTATGTGTTACACCTGTGCTGGTTGCCATCTAGTTAGTGGAAAGGTGTTACACCTGTGCTGGCCCCGGTGATATTTAAGAGTGGCTGGCCCAGTGCTCCAGTTATCTTGAGAGATGTGGAGGGTCAACACCTTTAGTTGATGCTCCCTATTTGATTTCTAGACAAACAATCCTTTATCTGATTTGGTTTGGCTCCACCTTTTTGGTTTGCTTCCTGTCTTTAAGTTTGGGGTGGCTTTTCTTTTGGTTTGCATCTACTCAGGCAAATTTAGTGGGCGCTCATGGAGGGTGTCCTCTAGGTCCCAGCTCATGGTGGGTGTCCTCTAGGTCCCAGCTCATGGTGGGTGTCCTCTAGGTCCCAGCTCATGGTGGGTGTCCTTTAGGTGCCAGCTCATGGTGGGTGTCCTTTAGGTCCCAGCTCATGGTGGTTGTCCTCTAGGTCCCAGCTCATGGTGGGTGTCCTTTAGGTCCCAGCTCATGGTGGGTGTCCTCTAGGTCCCAGCTCATGGTGGGTGTCCTCTAGGTGCCAGCTCATGGTGGGTGTCCTTTAGGTCCCAGCTCATGGTGGGTGTCCTCTAGGTCCCAGCTCATGGTGGGTGTCCTTTAGGTCCCAGCTCATGGTGGGTGTCCTTTAGGTCCCAGCTCATGGTGGGTGTCCTCTAGGTCCCAGCTCATGGTGGGTGTCCTCTAGGTGCCAGCTCATGGCGGGTGTCCTTTAGGTCCCAGCTCATGGTGGGTGTCCTCTAGGTCCCAGCTCATGGTGGGTGTCCTTTAGGTCCCAGCTCATGGTGGGTGTCCTTTAGGTCCCAGCTCATGGTGGGTGTCCTCTAGGTCCCAGCTCATGGTGGGTGTCCTTTAGGTGCCAGCTCATGGTGGGTGTCCTTTAGGTCCCAGCTCATGGTGGGTGTCCTTTAGGTCCCAGCTCATGGTGGGTGTCCTTTAGGTGCCAGCTCATGGTGGGTGTCCTTTAGGTCCCAGCTCATGGTGGGTGTCCTTTAGGTGCCAGTTGTTGCTAGTAAACCTTCAGTGGACACCCCCCATGAGTGCCTTTCAGAACCCCTCCTAAAACCCCCTGTTTAGTTTTGGTTGTTAGTTCCCCCTTCTGTTTGAGCGACATTTTTGGTTTTCTCGCTGGGGAACGCAACACTAACATGTAAACGTAAAATGTTCTTATAGTAAAATGTCATTATTCCGTAACATCACATAGTGCCATACGACAGGGACAGTAGTAATAATGTTACTGTGAAGTGCTGTAGCTCTCAGAAGCGGCGTCACATCGGTACTCGGTGTCCTCTACCCAGGCGGTGTAGTAACGCACTATGTTGGGGTGCTGAAGTTCTGCCAAGGCACCGACCTCCCGCTTGGCTTTCCTGAGGAAAGAGTCACAGTGAAATCCCTCAAAGTGTTGAATATTATGCTGTGGCTGCATTGAGTGAAAGATCTTACTTCATTGCTGAAGTAACAACAGAACATAATTGACTTACTCTGTACTCCGTACTATCTTCACAGCAAAATACTTATTCTCCAGTTTCCGTCGAGCCTTGTAAACGTGGCCAAAGCCTCCTTTGCCAATCTTCTCTATCGAATCAAACTCTGATGAAAACCTGAGAAAATAAACCATATTTAAATAATCAATCCATCAACATTATCAAACTGTATTGTCATCAGTATCATAGATGATTCCCTCAGCAATAGATTTCAATATGTCTGCTAAATAATGTAAATGTAAATGTACATTAAAATGTGGGCTAGATAAAATGAGGATAGTTGTCATGCTGAAAGTAACCCCATAATGTACCTAGATATAACTGGTTGGTTGGATGTCCTTCCAATGTTGCCTTTTAAATTGGGGCCTTCCTTAGAAAAACAATGACAAACACTCAATCAAACATTTAATACTGCAGTCCATATATCCTCAACAGCAGGGGTGGGCAACTTTGATGGGGGTGGGGGCCACAAAAAAATCTGAAGTCATCATGAGGGCCCGCAGCTGCCCGCAGGTCTGCGTACCCACATCCATAACGTTTCCATTAGTCGGTAATAGACGGATTTTGGCCGCAAAAACAATAGAAAAGCCGATCAATTAAATTGGCACCGGCCAATTGTCCGGGAGAAGAAAAACATCCCACTGCAAAATAATAATTTTTAGCGTCATATTCATTGATGGAAATAACAGTTGATGTAAATACATTTGACCAGTCATGCTTATCAGTCTATGGCTTTAATTTAGTGAAATTAAATTGGAGTGTGTATATTAGTTATGTACAGTGCATTCGGAAAGTATTCAGACCTCTTCCCTTTTTCCACATTTTGTTACATTACAGCCTTATTCTGAAATGGATGAATCTACACACAATACCCCATAATGACAAAACAAAAACCATTTTAGAAATGTTTGTTAATTTATTAACAATAAAAAACAAATACCTTATTTACATAAGTATTTAGACCCTTTGCTATGAGACTCTAAATTGAGCTCAGGTGCATCCTGTGTCCATTGATCATCCTTGAGATGTTTCTACAACTTGATTGGGGTCCACTTGTGGTAAATTCAATTGATTGGACATGATTTGGAAAGGCTGTCTATATAAGGTCCCACAGTTGACAGTGCATGTCAGAGCAAAAACCAAGCCATGAGGTCGAAGGAATTGTCCGTAGAGCTCCGAAACAGGATTGTGTTGAGGCACAGATCTGGGGCAGGGTACCAAAAAATGTATGCAGCATTGAAGGTCCCCAAGAACACAGTGGCCTCCATCATTCTTAAATGGAAGAAGTTTGGAACCACCAAGACTCTTCCTAGAGCTGGGCGCCCGGCCAAACTGAGCAATCAGGGGAGAAGGGCGTTGGGTCAGGGAGGTGAACAAGAACCCGATGGTCACTCTGACAGAGCTCCAGAGTTCCTCTGTGGAGATGGGAGAATTTTCCAGAAGGACAACCATCTCTGCAGCACTCCACCAATCAGGCCTTTATGGTAGAGTGGCCAGACGGAAGCCACTCCTCAGTAAAAGGCACATGACAGCCCACTTGGAGTTTGCCAAAAGGCACCTAAAGACTCTCAGACCATGAGAAACAAGATTCTCTGGTCTGATGAAACCAAGATTGAACTGAATGCCAAGCGTTACGTCTGAAAGAAACCTGGCACCATCCCTACAGTGAAGCATGGTGGTGGCAGCATCATGCTGTGGGGATGTTTTTCAGTGGCAGGGACTGGGAGACTAGTCGGGATCGAGGGAAAGATGAACGGAGCAAAGTACAGAGAGATCCTTGATGAAAACCTGCTCCAGAGTGCTCAGGACCTCAGACTGGGGTGAAGGTTCACCTTCCAACAGGACAACGACCCTAAGCACACAGCCAAGACAACGCAGGAGTGGCTTTGGGACAAGTCTCTGAATGTCCTTGAGTGGCCCAGCCAGAGTCCGGACTTGAACCCGATCGAACATCTCTGGAGAGACCCTTCCAACCTGACAGAGCTTGAGAGGATCTGCAAAGAAGAATGGGAGAAACTCCCCAAATACAGGTGTGATAAGCTTGTAGCGTCATACCCAAGAAGAATTGAGTCTGTAATCGCTGCCAAAGGTGCTTCAACAAAGTACTGAGTAAAGGGTCTGAATACTTATGTAAATGTGATATTTCAGTATATTTTTTATACATTTGCTAACATTTCTAAAAACCTGTTTTTACTTTGTCATTATGGGGTATTGTGTGTAGATTGATGAGGGGAAAAAAACAATTTAATCAATTTTATAATAAGGCTGTAACGTAACAAAATGTGGAAAAAGTAAAGGGGTTTTGAATACTTTCCGAATGCACTGTGTATGTAGACAAACGGAGGAAGAAACAGAGGCAGAGAAACAGACAGAAAGCGAGAGAGCCGAGACAGAGAGAGCCGAGAGAGAGAGAGAGAGAGAGAGAGAGAGAGAGCCGAGAGAGAGAGAGAGAGCCGAGACAGAGAGAGAGAGAGAGAGAGAGCCGAGACAGAGAGAGAGAGCCGAGAGACAGAGAGCCGAGACAGAGAGAGAGAGCCGAGAGAGAGAGAGCCGAGACAGAGAGAGAGAGAGAGAGAGAGAGAGAGCCGAGAGAGAGAGAGCCGAGACAGAGAGAGAGAGAGAGAGAGAGAGAGAGCCGAGAGTATACTATTCATCACACCATACAGCATACAGATACAAAGCCTTTGAAGGAAAATCTGTCAGACGGCACTTTTATAAGCCCAAATACTACGCAACAATTCTAAATGCAATCGTGTGTCAAAAATAGTTTTTTTGGGCCACGGTTAAAAATAGTTTTTTGTTGTTGTTGTTGTTTCTTTACTGCTAATGGAAGCGTGGTTTCCATTCGCAATTCAAATGCAACAGAAGGCAGGCGTCATCAGCACACCACTTTTCAATGAAGCTGGAGGCATTTTGAAAACATACAGCTACTTCGTTTTTTTTTTTTTTTTTAAAACCTGAATGATTTACTACACGTTTTACCTCGCTTCAAAGTAACCCAGGGAAAACCCCACCATATCCATGGAGGCAATTATTTCATACAGACTTCCGTGCTGCCGTTGGAACCAGTAGCCTCTAGTTTCTCTCATGTTCTATTGGTTTTCAACTGTCTCTCATTGTCTGAATCCACATTCGCGTGAAAGGGGAAGCTTTCCCTAAGTGAATTGAATAAAATGTATATAGCCTAATTAGCCTACTCCGGTCTGAACAGAATAGGCTCCTAAAGCCACAGAGGATCATTAGCTTCCATTAGCCATAAACATTTTAAAGTTGTGGATTGTTTTAAAATCGCATTGCCTACAGTCGAAAAGAAAGGCAGAGTGCGAAAATTTGGGCAGATTATTGTTGAGTTGTGACTGTGTGAAAAGAAGAGGCCAAACCAGGCCATATCACAATATAAAATAAAATAAAATCACAGGAAAACGTAGTTTGGAAATGTCTATTTCTGTAAAGAGAAGACAATGTAAAGACTGTATTTTTCAAAATTCTCAACATAATTTCCTACAACAGTAACAACCTATCTTATTGGCACCAGCGGAGAGCATCGGCTTCAACTCTATATGCGCTCAGCCATGAACTGAACAGATTTTTTTGCGAACGGTGATTGAGTATTATTAATAAATTGATATTATTATGACTATCCAGAGCCACATTTTCATAATGACAACCCTAATCTATTTTAGAGTTCTACACATTTTGACGTGGGGCGGAGAGAAGACTTTGCAATTTTATAACTAATTTTTGCCGTTTTTAATATGATATCTGAGTGAGACTGACTAACAAAATCAATGGGGGCCCCACGGCCGGCAATTAGACCATGATAACAAGTTTTGATAGCTGGCCGCTAAACTAACTTAGCGATCAGAAAAATGTTAGCTGACATGGGCTGATTGACTGACTGTCAGTGACTGACAGAACACGAGTAAAACCGCTGATGCACAGCCACATTTAGAAATTGCACCTTGTGTAGTCTACTTTTCTAACTCGCAACAGTAAATTGAGACCCCGACTGAGTTCCCTCAAAAATGCAATAATAATACTTTTTTTGATCCGAGGGTCTTCAAAAAGGCATCAGTTGCCCTGCTATACAACATGTTTATAGATGAGTCTACAACAAACTGCCAGAAGATCACATTTCTAGTTGTGTTTCAGTTACCATAACAGTAATCAGATACAGTCAGTTGCAGCCAAATATATTGGCACCCATGCACTTTTCTTAAATATTTCCCTATTGAAATGACAGTTTGGTCTCTACATATTGTTATTGGATTTTCTACATTCCAGAAAATGCTTTGCTGCCTCTGTTACTGGGGGGTCTTGAACGTGTGCAAGGCATCATTAACTCAGCAGATGATCAGGGTGTTTTGGAGTCCAATGTTCAACCTAGTGTCCAAAAACTGGGTCTCCATTGAAGTGGGTCTTCCAGCAGGACAACTACCCCAAAACAACACATCAAAAAGCACAGAAGAATGGTTTCAAGAAGAGATGCTCAACTGTTCTGGAGTGGCCTGCGAAGTATCCAGATTTGACTCACCTCCAGAACCTATGGCGAGATCTGACAACGGCAGTTGGTGGAGGACACCCCTCAAAGAATTAGAGCAGTTTGCCGCTGCAGAGTGGGCCAAACTGCCAGGAGGAAGGTGCAGCAAGCTCATTGATGTCTACAAGAAGTTTGTCTGCAGTTATCTTGGCCAAAGGCTGTGCAACCAAGTACTAACTCAGAGGTGCCAGTAATATTGTCCATGACATTTGTCTTATTTTTTTTATTTTTTATTTTTTTCTATTTCAACTTATTTTAGAAGAATTTGGAATGATTGAAGAAAAGTGCAAGGCTGCCAATATATTTATATTATATATTTCACCACAGCTGTAACTGTATAATCAAGATAATTACTTTCATCTTGGACCACAAAGGAAATAAGTCAGTGGCTTTGCGCAATCTCTGTCAAATAAATTAAATCTAATCAACCGATCAATCAATTAATCAACCAACCAATCAATCAATCAATCAAGCCAGATACTTCTCCCAGAAGGGTTTATTTAGTATCTTGGAGGCTAATACCTGTGTGGTCTTGACCGGTGACATCTGGAAGTTAGCTGCTAGTCTAAAGAGGAGGTCAGAGGTCAGATAGTCCAGGTAAAATAAAAACAACTTCATCAACATCTTGAAAGAAGAAGAAGTCTTGAATTGGGGCTTACCTTATTTTAGGCTTCACATTTACAGGGCTTTCCTCAGGGCTTTCCTCCTGCTTATAGAACAGAACAGATATTGATTTGGTGTCACGACAATAACCAATGTCTTACACCATGCTTAAAGAAACGATAGGAGTTTATATTCACAGTACCACTGCTCACATCCTGTGAATCCTATTGGCTGAAGCTATAGCAACTGTTACGGATCCAGGTATCCTGTGTCTTTTTGTGTTTTTCCTCTCCTTCTGCCCTAATCACAGGTGTCCTGTATGTTCCTGATTGGTGGTCGTTGGGGTGTCTGCTGATTGCTGAGGTGGACCAATCAGTGAACATTCCTCTGCATTGCACCACCTGTTTCTGGTTTTTCAATCACACATACCATTGTTTAAAAGCCGGTCAGTTGTGTTTGTTGTTAGAGACTATTTCCGTATGTGAGTATGGATACTGTGGTGTCCTGTGTTTTGTGTACTCACTCATTTGCTGGTTACTCTGTTTGGTAACTTTGTTGTGTGTTTCTGGGAAAAGGGGGATTTAAGCAAGTTGCCCTTGGGCGTACATTACCCGTAGGAAGAAAACGGTCTAAAAACACTAGTTAGACCTGAGCTGACCACCCACTGTAATATTTGTATGATTAGCAGTAGCTTAGCGGTTCTTGAGGCAGGCAAGATCAGTTTAGGGGTGTTTTACACTATTGTTTCATTTCTTGGGTCCTGCTCAGCCCTTTTTCCCAAACCTTTACCGTGTGTTCAAAAATAAACATTTTATGTTCGACGGTAGTTTATGGTTGTCGTGTAGTTTTTGTTCTCACTGTTCCATGTCACGCTTCTAATTTGCATGAATTATGTTACGGGTCTCTTGTCCATCCACCCTAGACGTTTAAAGCCACGGGGCTCGTAACAGCAACAATAAAAGGATATGTACCTGGGGGGAGTCTGTGAATATGATGAAGCTACTGGTACTTTCTGCTATACTCCGGGATAATGGTGTTGCATCCTGGGATTCCCTGAAAGAATAGAACAGAAAATATACTTTATTGTCCATTTTCAAAGGAAATTGATTGATTTTCTGTCACAATAGACATTAAAAAACACATACAGTCTCATGTTTTTCACACTGATATTTAATTCCATATGTTTTATTTTCAGTTGAGCTGCCCCAGACAGTATTGCTCCATGCCTTACCATGTACTGGAGGGGGTTATTTAGGACAGTCCTCCATCTTACCATGTACTGGAGGGGGTTAGAGAGGACAGTCCTCCATCTTACCATGTACTGGAGGGGGTTAGAGAGGACAGTCCTCCATCTTACCATGTACTGGAGGGGGTTAGAGAGGACAGTCCTCCATCTTACCATGTACTGGAGGGGGTTAGAGAGGACAGTCCTCCATCTTACCATGTACTGGAGGGGGTTAGAGAGGACAGTCCTCCATCTTACCATGTACTGGAGGGGGTTAGAGAGTACAGTCCTCCATCTTACCATGTACTGGAGGGGGTTAGAGAGGATAGTCCTCCATCTTACCATGTACTGGAGGGGGTTAGAGAGGACAGTCCTCCATCTTACCATGTACTGGAGGGGGTTATTTAGGATAGTCCTCCATCTTACCATGTACTGGAGGGGGTTAGAGAGGACAGTCCTCCATCTTACCATGTACTGGAGGGGGTTATTTAGGATAGTCCTCCATCTTACCATGTACTGGAGGGGGTTATTTAGGATAGTCCTCCATCTTACCAGGTACTGGAGGGGGTTAGAGAGGACAGTCCTCCATCTTACCATGTACTGGAGGGGGTTAGAGAGTACAGTCCTCCATCTTACCATGTACTGGAGGGGGTTAGAGAGGACAGTCCTCCATCTTACCATGTACTGGAGGGGGTTAGAGAGGACAGTCCTCCATCTTACCATGTACTGGAGGGGGTTATTTAGGATAGTCCTCCATCTTACCATGTACTGGAGGGGGTTATTTAGGATAGTCCTCCATCTTACCATGTACTGGAGGGGGTTAGAGAGGACAGTCCTCCATCTTACCATGTACTGGAGGGGGTTAGAGAGGACAGTCCTCCATCTTACCATGTACTGGAGGGGGTTATTTAGGATAGTCCTCCATCTTACCATGTACTGGAGGGGGTTAGAGAGGACAGTCCCTCCATCTTACCATGTACTGGAGGGGGTTAGAGAGTACAGTCCTCCATCTTACCATGTACTGGAGGGGGTTATTTAGGATAGTCCTCCATCTTACCATGTACTGGAGGGGGTTAGAGAGGACAGTCCTCCATCTTACCATGTACTGGAGGGGGTTATTTAGGATAGTCCTCCATCTTACCAAGTACTGGAGGGGGTTAGAGAGGACAGTCCTCCATCTTACCATGTACTGGAGGGGGTTAGAGAGTACAGTCCTCCATCTTACCATGTACTGGAGGGGGTTATTTAGGATAGTCCTCCATCTTACCATGTACTGGAGGGGGTTAGAGAGGACAGTCCTCCATCTTACCATGTACTGGAGGGGGTTAGAGAGGACAGTCCTCCATCTTACCATGTACTGGAGGGGGTTATTTAGGACATTACATTTACATTTTAGTCATTTAGCAGACGCTCTTAACCAGAGCGACTTACAGGAGCAATTAGGGTTAAGTGCCTTGCTCAAGGGCACATTAACGTCATTTAGCAGACGCTCTTAGCCAGAGCGACTCACAAATTGGTGCGTTCACCCTATAGCCAGTGGGATAACCACTTTACAATTTGGGGGGGGGGGGGGGGGGTTAGAAGGAATACTTTATCCTATCCCAGGTATTCCTTAAAGAGGTGGGGTTTCAAATGTCTCCGGAAGGTGGTGAGTGACTCCGCTGTCCTGGCGTCGTGAGGGAGCTTGTTCCACCATTGGGGTGCCAGAGCAGCGAACAGTTTTGACTGGGCTGAGCGGGAGCTGTGCTTCCGCAGAGGAAGGGGAGCCAGCAGGCCAGAGGTGGATGAACGCAATGTCCTCGTTTGGGTGTAGGGGACTGATCAGACCCTGAAGGTACAGAGGTGCCGTTCCCCTCACTGCTCCATAGGCAAGCACCATGGTCTTGTAGCGGATGCGAGCTTCAACTGGAAGCCAGTGGAGTGTGCGGAGGAGGGGGGTGACGTGAGAGAACTTGGGAAGGTTGAACACCAGACGGGCTGCGGCATTCTGGATGAGTTGTAGGGGTTTAATGGCACAGGCAGGGAGCCCAGCCAACAGCGAGTTGCAGTAGTCCAGACGGGAGATGACAAGTGCCTGGACCAGGACCTGCGCCGCTTCCTGTGTAAGGCAGGGTCGCACTCTCCGAATGTTGTAGAGCATGAACCTGCAGGAGCGGGTCACCGCCTTGATGTTGGCGGAGAACGACAGGGTGTTGTCCAGGGTCACGCCTAGGCTCTTCGCACTCTGGGAGGAGGACACAGCGGAGTTGTCAACCGTGATGGCGAGATCATGGAACGGGCAGTCCTTCCCCGGGAGGAAGAGCAGCTCCGTCTTGCCAGGGTTCAGCTTGAGGTGGTGATCCGTCATCCATACTGATATGTCTGCCAGACATGCAGAGATGCGATTCGCCACCTGGTTATCAGAAGGGGGAAAGGAGAAGATTAGTTGTGTATCGTCAGCGTAGCAATGATAGGAGAGACCATGTGAGGATATGACAGAGCCAAGTGACTTGGTGTATAGGGAGAAAAGGAGAGGGCCCAGAACCGATCCCTGGGGGACACCAGTGGTGAGAGCACGTGGTGCGGAGACAGCTTCCCGCCACGCCACTTGGTAGGAGCGACCGGTCAGGTAGGACGCAATCCAGGAGTGAGCCGCGCCGGAGATGCCCATCTCGGAGAGGGTGGAGAGGAGGATCTGATGGTTCACAGTATCAAAGGCAGCAGACAGGTCTAGAAGGACAAGAGCAGAGGAGAGAGAGTTAGCTTTAGCAGTGCGGAGAGTCTCCGTGACACAGAGAAGAGCAGTCTCAGTTGAATGACCAGTCCTGAAACCTGATTGGTTTGGATCAAGAAGGTCATTCTGAGAGAGATAGCAAGAGAGTTGGCTAAAGACGGCACGCTCAATAGTTTTGGAAAGAAAAGAAAGAAGGGATACTGGTCTGTAGTTGTTGACATCAGTGGGGTCGAGTGTTGGTTTTTTGAGGAGGGGAGCAACTCTCGCTCTCTTGAAGACGGAAGGGACATGGCCAGCGGTCAAGGATGAGTTGATCAGCGAGGTGAGGTAGGGGAGAAGGTCACCGGAGATGGTCTGGAGAAGGGAGGAGGGGATGGGGTCAAGCGGGCAGGTTGTTGGGGCGGCCTGCAGTCACAAGTCGCAGGATTTTATCTGGAGAGAGAGGGGAGAAAGAAGTCAAAGCATAGGGTAGGGCAGTGTGAGCAGGACCAGCAGTGTTATTAGACTTAACAAACGAGGATCGGATGTCGTCAACCTTCTTTTCAAAGTGGTTGACGAAGTCCTCCATCTAGGACAGTCCTCCATCTTACCATGTACTGGAGGGGGTTATTTAGGATAGTCCTCCATCTTACCATGTACTGGAGGGGGTTATTTAGGATAGTCCTCCATCTTACCATGTACTGGAGGGGGTTAGAGAGGACAGTCCTCCATCTTACCATGTACTGGAGGGGGTTATTTAGGATAGTCCTCCATCTTACCATGTACTGGAGGGGGTTAGAGAGGACAGTCATCCATCTTACCATGTACTGGAGGGGGTTAGAGAGTACAGTCCTCCATCTTACCATGTACTGGAGGGGGTTATTTAGGATAGTCCTCCATCTTACCATGTACTGGAGGGGGTTAGAGAGGACAGTCATCCATCTTACCATGTACTGGAGGGGGTTAGAGAGGACAGTCCTCCATCTTACCATGTACTGGAGGGGGTTAGAGAGGACAGTCCTCCATCTTACCATGTACTGGAGGGGGTTAGAGAGTACAGTCCTCCATCTTACCATGTACTGGAGGGGGTTAGAGAGTACAGTCCTCCATCTTACCATGTACTGGAGGGGGTTAGAGAGGACAGTCCTCCATCTTACCATGTACTGGAGGGGGTTAGAGAGGACAGTCCTCCATCTTACCATGTACTGGAGGGGGTTAGAGAGGACAGTCCTCCATCTTACCATGTACTGGAGGGGGTTAGAGAGGACAGTCCATCTTCTGAAACTGTTGATCTGCAGGACACCTATAAACCACAACGTAGAGACAACAAAGTATTCATCAACAGAGACAGACAGACAGACACTTGTCTATTTTACATTGAAGAGAAAAAGACACATTTGAAACTAGGAGAGGCTATTTTCAGGAAAGGCGGTTAGAGTGATAGGATAACCTTTAATGTCCCGGCCCGAGGGGAAAAATGTCTTAGGCCGGGATTCAATCCGTTCACACTTTTTCAGCTATGCACCTTTTAAAAAAGGCAATGTTTCACATTCAAGGTAACGCTGCATCTGTCGGCTTCATCGGGCTTAAGTGCGCTGTAACACATAATGCTGCTGGTAATAACCACAGTGCTGATGATGCTAAATGTCTACCTGGCTGTTCCAATCAGACTGTTCTTGCAGAGCAGACCATGCTAACTGAGCCGCTTGTTGTTTGGCCTCCTTGGCTGTCTTACCCGAACCATCTGGGTATTCGTTCTTGTCGATCAATACTTTATAAACAAATCTGTGTGGGGACAAAATAGGTCATATTTTTTTTTCAGTGACATTCAATGACAGTTTGGATATGATCTTCTCGTAGTGTCAGTAGACTCACAGAGGGTCGTGTGATGGTCCGCTCTTCCCCACTAGTTTAAAGTCAAGAAACCGTTTGGTTTTCTGACAGTAGTGGTTGAGTATGCCTATGAAGTTGGTCTCCTCTTTTGTAATGAAGCTATGTTGTTCTGATACATTCTGTTCTGGGCTCATGTTCAGGTGTCCAACCTTCTCACTGGAAGACATAAGAAATCAAAAAGACAATGTTTATGCTAGACTGCTAATTATGTGACAGAGATGCCCCAATAACAGACAACTACAGATGACTTAGTAATATATGCACTGGAGACTTTGAAGAAAAATAAAACAAATGGTTTTGGCTTACCAGAGGGCTACAACCTTTCGATTCAATTCCTCCTTGTGTTTTTCAATAGTGCCTTTGCAGTTTTCGTCTACAGTCTTGGAAATAACACATTCTTTACTTTACTTCACCACTATCATAAAATACCAACTGCATTTAGATGGCATATCCTACCATGCAGGCAACGAGATGTAGTGTGGTCTACGGTGTGGCCTTAGTAACACTTACCCCTGTTGTCTGACTACTGCCACATATCTCCTGATAGACCAGCATTGCTGCTTCCTCCTTAGCTTCCTTCTTAGTGTTCCCAAAGCCCTCTGGGTATTCTTTCTCACCTACCACATACCTACAGCACCTGACATACAAAACACACACACACACACTTTAGTTTTGGATTTGACCCTTTGCCACGGCATGTAAGAGAGTAACTTTAGAGTACTGTATTAAGTCTTACTGTGAGGTGTTGTTGGGTCCAACCCGTGTTTCTTCCAAAGCCTTCAGAGACAGCTTCTTCTTCTGGCTGTGTTCATTGAGCCACGACACATAGTTGGGCTGAGTGATAACTGCTTGGTCATGAGGGGCTGGAGCCAGTGATGGAAGACATGGAACAGTCTGTTGAAAAACATTACGCAGGCCATCAGGTCTCAAACTGTATGTTTTTGGTGCTCCAAAACTATATACACTACCGTTCAAAAGTTTGGGGTCACTTAGAAATGTCCTTGTTTTCAAAAGAAAAGCAAATTTTTTTGTCCATTAAAATAACATCAAATTGATCAGAAATACAGTGTAGACATTGTTCATGTTGTAAATGGCTATTGTAGCTGGAAACGACTGATTTTGTATGGAATATCTACAGTTGAAGTCGGAAGTTTACATACACTTAGGATGGAGTCATTAAAACTTGTTTTTCAACCACTCCACAAATTTCTTGTTAACAAACTATAGTTTTGGCAAGTCGGTTAGGACATCTACTTTGTGCGTGACACAAGTAATTTTTCCAACAATTGTTTACAGACAGATTATTTCACTTATAATTCACTGTATCACAATTCCAGTGGGTCAGAAGTTTACATACACTAAGTTGACTGTGCCTTTAAACAGCTTGGAAAATTCCAGAAAATGATGTCATGGCTTTAGAAGCTTCTGATAGGCTAATTGACATCATTTGAGTCAATTGGAGGTGTACCTGTGGATGTATTTCAAGACCTACCTTCAAACTCAGTGCCTCTTTGCTTGACATCATGTCTTTAAACAAGTGTGGTCCTCTGTAGCTCAGCTGGTAGAGCATGGCACTTGTAACGCCAAGGTAGAGGGTTTGATCCACGGGACCACCCATACACAAAAATGTATGCTTTGGATAAAAGCGTCTGCTAAATGGCATATTATTATTATTATGGGAAAATGAAAAGAAATAAGCCAGGACCTCAGAAAAAAAATGGTAGACCTCCACAAGTCTGGTTCATCATTGGGAGCAATTTCCAAACGCCTGAAGGTACCACGTTCATCTGTACAAACAATAGTACGCAAGTATAAACACCATGGGACCACGCAGCCGTGATACCGCTCAGGAAAGAGATGCGTTCTGTCTCCTAGAGATTAACGTAATTTGGTGCGAAAAGTGCAAATCAATCCCAGAACAACAGCAAAGGACCTTGTGAAGATGCTGGAGGAAACAGGTACAAAAGTATCTATATCCACAGTAAAACGAGTCCTATATCGACAGAACCTGAAAGGCCGCTCAGCAAGGAAGAAGCCACTGCTCCAAAAACGCCATAAAAAAGCCAGACTACGGTTTGCAACTGCACATGGGGACAAAGATCGTACTTTTTAGAGAAATGTCCTCTCGTCTGGTGAAACAAAAATAGAACTGTTTGGCCATAATGACCATCGTTATGTTTGGAGGAAAAAGGGGGTTGCTTGCAAGCCGAAGAACACCATTCCAACCGTGAAGCACTGGTGTGGCAGCATCATGCTGTGGGGGTGCTTTGCTGCAGGAGGGACTGGTGCACTTCACAATATAGATGGTATCATGAGGAAGGAAAATTATGTGGATATATTGAAGCAACATCTCAAGACATCAGTCAGGAAGTTAAAGCTTGGTCGCAAATGGGTCTTCCAAATGGACAATGACCCCAAGCATATTTCCAAAGTTGTGGCAAAATGGCTTAAGGACAACAAAGTCAAGGTATTGGAGTGGCCAACCCAAAGTCCTGACCTCAATCCTATAGAACATTTGTGGGCAGAACTGAAAAAGTGTGTGCAAGCAAGGAGGCCTACAAACCTGACTCAGTTACACCAGCTCTGTCAGGAGGAATGGGCCAAAATTCACCCAACTTACAGTGGGAAGCTTGTGGAAGGCTACCCGAAACATTTGACCCAAGTTAAACAATTTAAAGGCAATGCCACCAAATACTAATTGAGTGTATGTAAACTTCTGACCCACCGGGAATGTGATGAAAGAAATAAAAGCTGAAATAAATCACTCTCTACTATTATTCTGACATTTCACATTTTTAAAATAAAGTGGTGATCCTAACTGACCTAAGACAGGGAAGTTTTACTAGGATTAAATGTCAGGAATTGTGAAAAACTGAGTTTAAATGTATTTGGCTAAGGTGTATGTAAACTTCCGACTTCAACTGTACATAGGCGTACAGAGGCCCATTATCAGCAACCATCAGTCCTGTGTTCCAATGGCACATTGTGTTTGCTAATCCAAGTTTATAATTTTAAAAGGCTAATTGATCTTTAGAAAACCCTTTTGCAATTATGTTAGCACAGCTGAAAACTGTTGTGCTGATTTAAAGAAGCAATAAAACTGGCCTTCTTGAGACTAGTTGAGTATCTGGAGCATCAGCAATTGTTGGTTCGATTACAGGCTCAAAATGGCCAGAAACAAATAACTTTCTTTCTACAATAGCCATTTACAACATTAACAATATCTACACTGCATTTCTGATCAATTTGATGTTATTTTAATGGACAAAAAATGTGCTTTTCTTTTGAAAACAAGGACATTTCTAAGTGACCCCAAACTTTTGAACGGTGGTGTATATTCTGTAACAAAACATTCCACATGATAGTGTGGTCTTTGTCAATCGGAAATGTCACCAGGGGCTGTATGTCAGAGTAGGAGGGCTGAACTAGGTTCAGTTCAGCCTTTTAGATCACAATGAAAAAATATTATACGGATCCTAGATCAGCCCTCTGAGATGCTTGATACCTACGGGCCCCTGGTCAACACCTGATACCATCAGTAGAATAACGGGTGTTCCTACGGGCCCCTGGTCAACACCTGATACCATCAGTAGATTAAAGGGTGTTCCTACGGGCCCCTGGTCAACACCTGTTACCATCAGTAGAATAAAGGGTGTTCTTACGGCGTCCTTCTGCTCCGTCTCCATCAGGCCATTCAGAGCATGTTTAGCAGCATTCTGTTTGGCCTCTTTCTTGTTCTTCCCAACCCCGTCAGGATAGACACGGCCCTTCATCACCACCCTCATAGTGAAGCTGGAGGAAAGGGGGAATGTTTAAGGCAATACTTTAAATGGATAAATGACTGAATTATTGAATTAATTAATTATTTCATGATTACAGTACAGTACTAACTACATTTTACATATTAGTCATTTAGCAGATGCTCTTATACAAAACAACTACAGCACATTAGCTTTTTTTCAAGATGCTGAAAGAAATCAATCATATTTCTCCACTCCTGTTCCAGAGACAAAATTAATATTTGGCTTGACCGTATGTACCATACGGTCAAGCCAAAGAAGTGCCCATCAAGTCAGTCCAATTTGTGGGAGGTGCTTCAGGAAGCATTGGGTGAAATCTCTTCAGATTACCTCAACAGATTGACAACTAGAATGCCAAAGGTCTGCAAGGCTGTAATTGCTGCAAATGGAGGATTCTTTGACGAAAGCAAAGTTTGAAGGACACAATTATTATTTCTATTAAAAAAATCATTATTTCTAACCTTGTCAATGACTACATTTCCTATTCATTTTGCTATATTTCCTATTGAAACTCATTTCATGTAGGTTTTCATGGAAAACAAGGAAATTTCTAAGTCCATGGGCGGTGTGTTCAATAGGGCGATATGGGCGACGCACTGCCAAACGGGAAAAGGAAGGGATTTTTTTTCTAATCAATTATATCATGGCAACAGTAGTTCAGTGTTCACGTCTGATCTGCCAGCCACTAAATGTCCAATCAGGCTAAAGTCGTGCTTCAAATGTCCCCGCCCGTTTTGGGGCGATTTCAGTCAGGTTGAAAATCGCCCAGAAGTCTCTCATAGCCTCTAATGTAAAATATTTTTTTTTCAAATTTCTGAGCTTTCAATACATTCTCTATGGGTGTCTGAGGGCTTGCACTTACGCGCTTTCGTCATACGTAACGTAACGTAACCATGAACGGCAGACAGCAACGCTTGGACAGCGACTGGTGTAACCGACATGCACCATCTTTCAGAAAAGATTAAGAAAAATGAGCTGTCAAAGACCCACATTGATAGCTGTTTGAGATTGTCTGCTTTGGTGAGAGTGAATATTGCCACTCAACTGGATGAGGGATACAGGCTAGCTGTCCGCCGCCACAACGATGAGGTTAGCAACAGCAGAGTCGTGAACACTGTCTACGAGAATCGAGACGACCTCATAGAATGTTTTGAAGCCATCCGGACGGGTTCATTGGGTTCATTTGACCAGCCCACCGTACCAGAAGCTACAGAATAAGGACATCGATGCTGTCTTTATCAAACGTGCCCTCGACAGCTTCGCAAGCAGTGTGCAGGCCATAAGGTAAGATAAAGATTAAACAATATCATTCGATCTTTCTCAAAGCAGAGCTTTATTTGAAAATGTATGCATGAAAGGAGACTGCATTTGTGTTTGAAATTACATTATTGTCATTATATATGGCCAGTGGTGTAATCTATCTTATTTTATATACTATGTGTACTGTACAGTGGTGCTCATAAGTGTATGAACACATTCTAAAGCTGACTAAAAAGAGGAATAAAAAAATAAAAAAATCATCTTTTGGAAATTGATCTTAATGACTTAATTAAAAAAGTTGGAAAATCCAACCTTTAAGGACACCAATTTTCTTTTCTTTTTTATTCCTCTTTTTAGTCAACTTTAGCATGGGATCATAAGCTTATGAGCACCACTGTATACTGTGCTGAACATCCAGGCTATGTGAGACACAAAGGCTAACTTAAACACTAAAGACTTTATGCATCCCTGCCCATTTTAAGTGGAACTGAAGTATTTGTACTATACATGGATACATTGCATATACCTGTGCATCACATAGACAACAATACTGTACAAAGCCAACAAACACATTGGTCTGTTTGCCTTCAGGGACTCCTCTCAACAGCAGCTGCAAGAAGCAACAGGAGCCAAAAGACCCAGAACAGCTTTGAGAGAAGAGGAGAAGCAGAGGCTGTCTGAAGAGGTCTGCAACACCATCCTGGATCACACCAAAGAAAGGTTCTCTTTCTCTGGCCACCTTGTGAGTGCTACCTTACTGCAAGCAGACATGTTTGAAAGGTACTGCCATTCAAAAAAATAAAAAATCTGTTCATGTTCATTTTTACAAATCTATACAATTGGCCAGAATATGGTTGTTCATATTTACAAATCTATACAATTGGCCAGAATATGGTTGTTCATTTTTACAAAGCCATACATATTGTTTATGCAGTGTTGAGGAATGTGAAAGAACACCCTTGATTATTTTTACTGTGATAACTTATTTTGCTTTTGTAAGCCAACACTTTTGAGATCAGTCAATAAATGCTTCTGGTATTGACTTATATGCTGCCCCTGTCTTCATGTTGTTGCTGGACATATCTTTTTAAAAATGTGTGTAGGTCACCTAAATCATCAGAAAAATTGCCCCTCCTGAGAATTTTTTCAGGAGCCGCCACTGTCTAAGTCACCCCAAACTTTTCAACGGTAGTGTGTAAGTACACAAGTGAAGGGAAAAGTTGAGAGGAGGAATTATATATCCAACGAGCAAAGGGATCATGCTGTTTGTATGTGACTGCTATGAAAGTGATCATGCTGTTTGTATGTGGCTGCTATGAAAGGGATCATGCTGTTTGTATGTGGCTGCTATGAAAGTGATCATGCTGTTTGTATGTGGCTGCTATGAAAGTGATCATGCTGTTTGTATGTGGCTGCTATGAAAGTGATCATGCTGTTTGTATGTGGCTGCTATGAAAGTGATCATGCTGTTTGTATGTGGCTGCTATGAAAGTGAACCAATTTTTGCGTGTGATCAGGGATTTATTCATGTCGCCCGATTCTGTTGAAAAAGGTTTCTTAAACGGAAGCAAACGAAACGGGGATAAACATACCAGAATTTGTCCAATAGAAACTCTTGTTTGCAACTGTTGGGCTAATGATTACACCCCAGATCAGCTAGATGCAGGCGAGATTGTGCAAGGCGGTATTGAATGTGTCAATGTCTGTCACCTTGATTACTGAAATCTCTCTCGACCTGGGCACCTACGTTGTAAACTTTCATTCATTAGGTTAGGTTGTAGCAACCTCATGATTGATATAGGGGAAATTTGAGTATCATGTAGTAGCCTAAACCTATCAATGTAACATTGAACTGGGTGAATGGAATATTTATGACAGTCATCCAATATGCTGTAATAGAAATAAGGCTCACACGTTCTTTTCATATTTTTCGCATCTTAAACGGCACCGACCGCCACTGGTGTGTAGCGTCAAAATGCTTGTGTGTGTGTGTGTGTTTTGTGGTTGTGAGCGTATGTGTGTGTGTGTGTATGTGTGTGTTGGAGTGTCAGTGTAGTATGTGTGAGTGTGTGGGTAGAGTCCAGTGAGTGTGTGGGTAGAGTCCAGTGAGTGTGTGGGTAGAGTCCAGTGAGTGTGTGGGTAGAGTCCAGTGAGTGTGTGGGTAGAGTCCAGTGAGTGTGTGGGTAGAGTCCAGTGAGTGTGTGGGTAGAGTCCAGTGAGTGTGTGGGTAGAGTCCAGTGTGTGTGGGTAGAGTCCAGTGTGTGGGTAGAGTCCAGTGAGTGTGTGGGTAGAGTCCAGTGTGTGGGTAGAGTCCAGTGAGTGTGTGGGTAGAGTCCAGTGTGTGGGTAGAGTCCAGTGAGTGTGTGGGTAGAGTCCAGTGAGTGTGTGGGTAGAGTCCAGTGAGTGTGTGGGTAGAGTCCAGTGTATGTACGGGATACACATGGTATACACTGTCCAACTAAATGCTTACTTGCAGGTTCCTTCTAGACAATGCAACAACAATAAGAAATAATACAAGATAAGAATACGAACATTAAGTAAATGGCTCAGTAGAATAGAATAAACATTTAGTATAATACAGGAAGGAACAATTTATAGTCCAATAATTACACATGTATTGGAGAAAGGGGGATGGGGGGGGAATTGTTTAAATTGTCCAGTATTTAGCAATAATAATAAGAGTCTGGTAGCAGCAGTTGTGAAGTGTGTGTAGCATGAATGTACAATGCCTTGCAGAAGTATTCATCCCCCTTGGTGTTTTTCCTATTTTGTTGCATTACAACCTGTAATTTAAATTGATTTTTATTTGGATTTCATGTAATGGACATACACAAAATAGTCCAAATTGCTGAAGTGAAATGAATTTTTGTTTATTTTATAATAACTGTTATAATAAATAAATGGAAAAGTGGTGCGTGCATATGTATTCACCCCCTTTGCTATGAAGCCCCTAAATAAGATATGGTGCAACCAATTACCTTCACAAGTCACATAATTAGTTAAATAAAGTCCACAAGTGTGGAATCTAAGTGTCACATGATCTCAGTATATATACACCTGTTCTGAAAGGCCCCAGAGTCTGCAACACCACTAAGCAAGGGGCACCACCAAGCAAGCGGCACCATGAAGACCAAGGAGCTCTCCAAACAGGTCAGGGACAAAGTTGTGGAGAAGTACAGATCAGGGTTGGGTTATAAAAAAATATCCGAAACTTCGAACATCCCACGGAGCACCATTAAATCCATTATTAAAAAATGGAAAGAATATGGCACCACAACAAACCTGCCAAGAGAGGGCCGCCCACCAAAACTCACGGACCAGGCAAGGAGGGCATTAATCAGAGAGGCAACAAAGAGACCAAAGATAACCCTGAAGGAGCTGCAAAGCTCCTCAGCGGAAATTTTAGTATCTGTCCATAGGTCCACTTTAAGCTGTACATTCGACAGAGCTGGGCTTTACGGGAGAGTGGCCAGAAAAAAGCCATTACTTTAAGAAAAAAATAAGCAAACACGTTTGGTGTTCGCCAAAAGGCATGTGAGAGACTCCTCAAACACATGGAAGAAGGTACTCTGGTCAGATGAGACTCAAATTGAGCTTTTTGACCATCAAGGAAAACGCAATGTCTGGCGCAAACCCAACACCTCTCATCACCCCGAGAACACCATCCCCACCGAGAAGCATGGTGGTGGCAGCATCATGCTGTGGGGATGTTTTTCATCAGCAGGGACTGGGAAACTGGTCAGAATTAAAAGAATGATGGATGGCTCTAAACACAGGGAAATTCTTGAGGGAAACCTGTTTCAGTCTTCCAGAGATTTGAGACTGGGACGGAGGTTCACCTTCCAGCAGGACAATGACCCTAAGCATACTGCTAAAGCAACACTCGAGTGGTTTAAGGGGAAACATTTAAATGTCTTGGAATGGCTTAGTCAAAGCCCAGACCTCAATCCAATTGAGAATCTGTGGTATGACTTAACGATTGCTGTACACCAGTGGAACCCATCCAACTGGAGCAGTTTTGCCTTGAAGAATGGGCAAAAAACCCTGTGGCTAGTTGTGCCAAGCTTATAGAGACATACCCCAAGAGACTTGCAGCTGTAATTGCTGCAAAAGGTGGATCTACAAAGTATTGACTTTGGGGGGGGGGGGGGGTGAATAGTTATGCACGCTCAAGTTTTCCGTTTTTTTATCTTATTGGTAACTTTGTTTGTTTCACAATAAAACATATTTTGCATCTTCAAAGTGGTAGGCATGTTGTGTAAATCAAATGATACAAACCCCCCAAAAATCAATTTTAATTCCAGGTTGTAAAAAATAGGAAAAATGCCAAGGGGGGTGAATACTTTCGCAAGCCACTGTATGTGTGTGTGTGTGGGTTGTTGTGTGTGTGAGTGAGTGCATGTGCGCTAAGGTGCGGAGCTGCTAAGGTACGGTGTTGTAGGCCAATAGTAGCCCTACTATTGAAATCGATCAATGAGGCTGTCAACTGAGTCAGAAATTCACCAGGGTTTTTTGTGTCTTTTTAACATTTCAGGTTTTCGCTCTCAAAGTCACACTTTTTGAAATAGAAAAACCACAACCAAGTCCATAACAATAAATAATTAAATAACAATAAACAATAAAATGAATAGCTTAAACCACAGCATGAGACCACCTTTTGACGTCTGGGTTTGGGTTATTTATATTAGTTAGCCTTTAATTCAAGTGTGAAGGCACTGTTGTTTGGTTAGTGGTGTTTTTACAGCACATGAGATGGAGTTTGCAAAACAAAAAAAGCAATGTAGCTACTATGCCAGTTAAATTTGACTTACGTTTTAAGATGATCCGGTCCATCTGTACCAACCTCTTCAAACTTGACATCAGAGATCTGACGGTTGCTCTGAGCAAACTCCATCAGTCTGGAGATATAATTTGTGGAACCCATTGATTATGATAAAAAATAATGTTGTCGAATCTGTAAGACATAAGGGGTGAAAAACAAAGGAAATCAAATCAAGACAACAAGTTATAACACCGTGATGGATTGTTCTGTGCGCATAATCAATGCATGTAAATTACCTAATAATCGATATGCAAACAATATAAGGACACAAGCTAGACTCCTTATCGAAGGTGTGAGCGACCATGGCTGATAGTTCAAGTTCAATTGGCAAACGATAAATAAAACATTCTGCAACAATGCTCAAAGTCATAACACCGTGATAATATCACCGTTGTAACTTAAGGGCCGTCCACACCAAGAACGATAACTATAACGATATATATATATTTTTAAATCATTCTTATTCAAGTGAACAGGAGCGTTCACAACGATAACTACAAAAACAGTGGAGAACGATATCATTTGGATTTTCAACTTTCAGAGTCCCTTCCAATTATAAAACATTGACAACCAGTGGTGTAGTGGAGGGTACACCCACTTATTAATCTCCACGATACGTATCAATGTAATGTAGTGGAGGTATCAAATCAAATCAAATTTTATTGGTCACATGCGCCGAATACAACAGGTGCAGACATTACAGTAAAATGCTTACTTACAGCCCTTAACCAACAGTGCATTTATTTTAAACAAAAAAAGTAAGAATAAAACAACAACAAAAAAAGTGTTGAGAAAAAAAAGAGCAGAAGTAAAATAAAGTGACAGTAGGGAGGCTATATATACAGGGGGGTACCGGTGCAGAGTCAATGTGCGGGGGCACCGGCTAGTTGAGGTAGTTGAGGTGTAATCAATGTAATGTGGTGGAGGTATCAATGTAATGTAGTGGAGGTATGGTGTAGTTCCAGATGTGTCCAGAGGGGGGCAGTAGATCCAGTAATGTAGTGGAGGTATACGCCATATCAATGAATACGGCTGATGGAACAGATCAGAATGTTTCGCTTAAAATGTTGATCAACTATTATGTCTTCACATTTTACGCGCAGCACACGGCGGAAGGCCTATCCGCAAATGTTCCAGAACGCAATTTGCGTTAAACACCGTTCTAAAAATGCACACTGCACATGCGAGCGGTTTCACGGACAGAGATGGAAGTATCCCTTAGAAATTTAGAAAGAGGGTAGATCTAAAGATGCAACAACTATCACGGGTTGCTAATATGACTCGGATAATACCTTTGGCTGCTAGACAATGAAGGAAAGGAAAACGCATATGAGGAAGTCTTTATAAAATAATTGCCTCTGTGGTGGGATTTAGTCTATAGGCTACTTTGAAGCAAGACAACAAGACATGTCTTAATATATGATGTGAAACGTCCAGGTTTCAAACAATTAAGGAACAGGGAAAATATAGCAATGCTAATGATGGGCCTAACAGTCTTCTGGAAAATGGAAAGGCTTTTCAATTAAATGTTAACTATCTACAAAGTAGCCTCTGCCTACCCAGCAGAATGATATCTTGATGATCCAGTAGCCATCTGTTTGCAAACTCCATCTCATGTGCTTCAAAAACACCACTAACCAAACAACAGTGCCTTCACACTTGAATTAAAGGGTAACTACAAAACAACAAAATATAGTAGATTTTTCCTAGACCTCAAAAGTGGTATCCTTCTGTGGTTTAAGCGTTGCTATGGCTTAGAACATCCAATTTCGTTGTTTTTCTATAACAAAAAGAGTGGATTTCTTTATTAATTTTTTATCTGAAACCTGTGAATGTTTTGCTCAGTTGACAGCCTCATTTATCTGTTCCAATAGTAGTTATACTATTAGCACAGTCCAGCTTGGGTTGGCCTGACTGTGAAAGACCAATATGGGATTTATAATTTTAGGTCATTCAGAGTGTGTCACTGACTTTTTCCACACAGGGCACCTTTCCTTCGCCGGCCCACACAGGGCACCTTTCCTTCGCCGGCGGGCCATTGGGAAATTTTGGCCACAATTTTGAGTATACCACTTCTCCAGGCACCACTACACCACTGTTGACAACCAATCAAAAATGCGTTTCTATTGAAGCGTTCTTGGTTCAACCAATCAAAAATGCGTTTCTATTGAAGCGTTCTTGGTTCAACCAATCAAAAATGCGTTTCTATTGAAGCGTTCTTGGTTCAACCAATCAAAAATGCGTTTCTATTGAAGCGTTCTTGGTTCATCCAATCAAAAATGCGTTTCTATTGAAGCGTTCTTGGTTCATCCAATCAAAAATGCGTTCTATTGAAGCGTTCTTGGTTCTAGTTGCGCGAGGGTTCTCGGACGGGAGAGAAGGCAGAGAGCACGGCTTGGGAGAATGATGATCCACGACAAACAGCACATATCAGTGGAAGGCCGATCTGTTAACACCGATACCTCCTGACATCACTGTGTAAATTCATTGGGTACAGGCTATTCACTGCAGGATTAGGACTCAAATGTAGCTAATGAATGATGGGTTTCATAGGCCTCTATCTTAGGCTACACATCTCTAGTGTGTCTTCTCTTTGCGCAATAACGCACCTGGCCTCTCCACTGCCTCTCTCAGCTACAGCTGTTCCTCTTAGCTCGTGGAGTCCCAGGAAAAGCTCAAGTACAATAGCTTATGTACATTTAATTCCAGCATTTTATTTACTACTACTAGCTTATCGAGGAGAGATTCCAGCTCTTGCTTGCTGAATGTAAAATAAAGAAGTCAAAAGAACTGGCAGGCAGAGTGAGAGACAGTGAGAGAGACAGTGAGAGAGACAGTGAGAGAGAGAGAGAGAGAGAGAGAGAGAGAGAGAGAGAGACAGAGACAGAGACAGAGAGACAGAGAGAGAGAGAGACAGAATGTGGATGTTTTGACTCAAATGGAGAAAAGAGAAGTAGACTTCCTGATCACTCTCTCTCTTATTGATGATATTTTCTGTTGGCCACAAACATTCTCAACCAGGTATCACTGTGCATCACTCTGGGAAAAAGATACATACCCCGTATAGGGTTAAATGTAAGAAAAGAAATATGCCAAATTACTTTCTATGTTCTGAAATAGCATCTAAGAGCTCTGGTGGAACTCATCGAAACTCTGCAAAGATGCCAAGAAACAACATTTGATTTAGATGTGTGGTATGAAACATGTTGTGATATCATATATTCTGAAATGGGGGAAAATGATGTGAATAAAGAATACACTCCAAGTCCAGGAAAGTTTACAAGCTGAACAAGCCTTACTGGAGTGATGAGTTAGGGGATCTATGGTCTGAAATGTACAAGGCTGAGTACTTATTTATACAGTGTAAAGATGGGAATACAAGAGAACATTTTAGGAAGGAATTTAAGAAAAAACTGCTTGTGTTTGATAAAAGACTGCGCCTATTCAAACAGAGATATCAGAGAGGGTAGGTATTATACCTTGAGGAGATACGGACAAGAAATCCTCAACAGTTCTGGAGCCAAATAAACAAGTTAGGACCAAAAACAACATAAGAAAATTTCAATGGAAGTCAGGGAAGGAGACAGACCACCAGATATACCCTGGCATTATGTGGCTGAGGAGACAGACCACCAGATATACCCTGGCATTATGTGGCTGAGGAGACAGACCACCAGATATACCCTGGCATTATGTAGCTGAGGAGACAGACCACCAGATATACCCTGGCATTATGTGGCTGAGGAGACAGACCACCAGATATACCCTGGCATTATGTGGCTGAGGAGACAGACCACCAGATATACCCTGGCATTATGTGGCTGAGGAGACAGACCACCAGATATACCCTGGCATTATGTAGCTGAGGAGACAGACCACCAGATATACCCTGGCATTATGTAGCTGAGCCATGAGGAGACAGACCACCAGATATACCCTGGCATTATGTGGCTGAGGAGACAGACCACCAGATATACCCTGGCATTATGTAGCTGAGGAGACAGACCACCAGATATACCCTGGCATTATGTAGCTGAGGAGACAGACCACCAGATATACCCTGGCATTATGTGGCTGAGGAGACAGACCACCAGATATACCCTGGCATTATGTAGCTGAGGAGACAGACCACCAGATATACCCTGGCATTATGTGGCTGAGGAGACAGACCACCAGATATACCCTGGCATTATGTGGCTGAGGAGACAGACCACCAGATATACCCTGGCATTATGTGGCTGAGGAGACAGACCACCAGATATACCCTGGCATTATGTAGCTGAGGAGACAGACCACCAGATATACCCTGGCATTATGTGGCTGAGGAGACAGACCACCAGATATACCCTGGCATTATGTAGCTGAGGAGACAGACCACCAGATATACCCTGGCATTATGTGGCTGAGGAGACAGACCACCAGATATACCCTGGCATTATGTGGCTGAGGAGACAGACCACCAGATATACCCTGGCATTATGTGGCTGAGGAGACAGACCACCAGATATACCCTGGCATTATGTGGCTGAGGAGACAGACCACCAGATATACCCTGGCATTATGTAGCTGAGCCATGAGGAGACAGACCACCAGATATACCCTGGCATTATGTGGCTGAGGAGACAGACCACCAGATATACCCTGGCATTATGTGGCTGAGGAGACAGCCCACCAGATATACCCTGGCATTATGTGGCTGAGGAGACAGACCACCAGATATACCCTGGCATTATGTGGCTGAGGAGACAGACCACCAGATATACCCTGGCATTATATGGCTGAGGAGACAGACCACCAGATATACCCTGGCATTATGTAGCTGAGGAGACAGACCACCAGATATACCCTGGCATTATGGGGCTGAGCCATGAGGAGACAGACCACCAGATATACCCTGGCATTATGTGGCTGAGGAGACAGACCACCAGATATACCCTGGCATTATGTAGCTGAGGAGACAGACCATCAGATATACCCTGGCATTATGTAGCTGAGGAGACAGACCACCAGATATACCCTGGCATTATGTGGCTGAGGAGACAGACCACCAGATATACCCTGGCATTATGTAGCTGAGGAGACAGACCATCAGATATACCCTG